TCCCCCTCCCTTCTGCTTTTGCCTGGAAAGTCTTTGTCATCCAGGACTGCTACAGTGGCTCATGCCTTTCACTTCCTGTGGTTCTCTATCTCCCAGGAGGAAGAATAAAGCAGGAATGTCCCCTGGTGATCATTGAGTCCCTTTCCAAAGGCAAGTTCTGCTGGTGTAGGTGTTTGTGTTCTTCCTAAGGCTATTTATGAGGTTAAGCTGGGGATCAGTGATTGTTATGCTGCCTGAATAGAAATTCTAGAATTACAGGTTAAGAGTGTAGCTCTGTAGATTAGTGCTTGCCTAGTGGGTACAAGGCCATGGATTCCACCTCCAACACAAACAAAACAAAAAGTTTCCACCCAAATAGTAGACACACACACACACACGCAGACATAATTTTTTGCAATCTACTTTAGTAAGCATTCAACCTCTCCTCTTACCCATCACCCATCAGAGGTGGTGGAAGAGAAAAGTTATTAGGATATGGGGGAAGTGGACCTGTTTAGCAATAGCTCTTTGAGGAGTAAGTTCCATCTTCTTGGGCATCAGTTTAGTCCTGTAGCAAACACCAAACATGACTCAGCAGCTGCAGACCAGTCCGCTAGGCAGCCAGACACCACACACAAACCAGCAGCTGTAGTTCAATCTGGAAGAAGCCAAAAGGCTTGCCAACCAGCCTGAAGCTAGGCCACAGAAGCAGCAAGTTGCTGGCAGGAACCACATGAGCAGTTCTTTGGCGAGTTTCTCTTGTCTTTACAAGTTGAGGTCAACAGTGCTATGTGCCACAGACCACCCCAGTTGGATATGGGAGTTCCTGGGATGAGGGTCCTCGAAGGCTAGGTGGGTAAGGACTCGGCGGTGACAAACAGAAACAAATACAGAGGCAGTTTGAATCTGAGTGTATTTTGCAGCTCTCAAGCAAGGGTTTTTATACAAAACAAATATTTCAGCTCCTAGGAGATGGATACAGGAAAGCAATCATCAAAGCACAAGAATCATCCAAGCATACCAACTCTGAGAAGATATATTCAATAAATCACAAATAGAACAGGTAACATCATTATTATTATTATTATTATTATTTGACACAATAACAATCATTCAAGTGTACAACTCTAAAAGGATGTATTCAGTGGGGCGGTCATCCAAGGCTGGTGGTAGATCTCCAAGGGCAGGTCAATTCATCTTTATAATCAACTATTATTTAACATCTAATACCTGATTTTTTTTGTTTTGTTTTGTTTTTTTGTTTTTTCGAGACAGGGTTTCTCTGTGTAGCCCTGGCTGTCCTGGAACTCACCCTGTAGATCAGGCTGTCCTCGAACTCAGAAATCTGCCTGCCTCAGCCTCCCAAGTGCTGGGATTAAAGGCATGTGCCACCACCGCCCGGCCCTGATTTTTTATAAATCTTCAAAGCACAAATTTAAACTATTTTAATTCTTTTTATTTAAGGCTTTCTTTACCATATACCAAAGCCCTCCTCCGATGACATATGTGTAGCCATATGAAATTTTATTGTTAGGAAAGTTTTATTTATCATAATACTATTATGTAGCTACTACTACTACTACTTACTACTACGTTGTAAATGATTATAAAGTAAAGCATCAGTTTCTCTGGAGGCAAGATCATGTTAGTAACCCCATCGCTTTTTTTTTTTTTTCTTTTTTGGTTTTTCGAGACAGGGTTTCTCTGTGTAGTCCTGGCTGTCCTGGAACTCACTCTGTAGACCAGGCTGGCCTCGAGCTCAGAAATCCGCCTGCCTCTGCCTCCCAAGTGCTGGGATTAAAGGCGTGTGCCACCATAACCCCATCTCAAGGGATGATTTCTTACCCATTTTCTTTGCTTAAGAACTTGGCGTAGTTGCCAGGCGGTGGTGGCACACCAAAAAAGAAAAAAAAAAAAAAAAAAGAAATTAGTTACCAGACAACTGTGGTAGTGTAGACGCTGAAACAGGAGGCTCTCCAGTTAAAGAACAGACTTGACTATGTAGTTATACTAGCTCAAAAACAAACAAACAAAAAGAAATTGACTCTCTAACCACAAAAATTATGAATTTAGTTGTACATGGTAACACATGCCTTTAATCACAGCAATCACAAGGCAAGACACGTGAACCTCTGTGAGTCCAAGGCCAGTCTGGTCTACATAATAATAGGACAACCAGAGCTATAAGAGACTCTGGCTTGATAATCATATTGATAATAACAATAATAAAAAATGAAAATTAAGAACATTTCTAAATCAAAGATGCCTATCTATGCCAGGTATGGTAGTCTATGTGTGCAATCCCAACACCCAGATGGCAAAAGAATTTTAAGTTCTAGTCCAGCCTGGGTTACATGAGACTCTTGTCCCAAAATAACAATAAAAATAATAGTAAGTGAAAGACTGACATATATACATATACACAAGCTCTAAAAGACACAGGTATAACAAACTGAGCAATAAAATAAAATGTTGGACCTTAACTCAAAATATAAAACAAATATTCATGAGTCCATAGGGATATCAGTAATAAATTAATGTGTTAATAAGTATATAAATGAATTTGTAGGAACAAACATCCCATACAGAAGAATTCCATGTAGGTGTTTTCTTTTCATGGAGGGAAGAAATAGCTGTCCTAGCCAGGCGGTGGTGGCGCACGCCTTTAATCCCAGCACTTGGGAGGCAGAGGCAGGCGGATTTCTGAGTTTGAGGCCAGCCTGATCTACAGAGTTCCAGGACAGCCAGGACTACACAGAGAAACTCTGTCTCGAAAACAAAACAAAAACAAAACAAAAAAAGAAATAGCTGCCCTTCATTTTTTTGTTTTTATTTTTATTTTACTCTATTTTTTAATAAAAGATTTCTTTTTATTATTTATTCTTGTCTATGTATGTATACATGTGACTGCAGTACCTGCAGAGACCAGAAGGGAGCATCAGATACCACTACTGGCTTGTCAGCTGCTTTGTGGGTGCTAAAAATTAAATTGGATTCTCTGAAGTTGGAGGTGGGGAGTGAAGGGTGGGGGTGGAGTGGCATATGACTTTACTATCAGCACTCAGGATGCAGAAGCAGGCGGATCTCTTGAGTTTGAGGCCAGTTTAGTCTGCAGAGTGAGTTCCAGGGTAGCCAGGGCTACACAGAGAAACCCTGTCTTGGGTAAAAAATAAATTACTTTAACACTTAAAAGATAACACTTTAAGTGTTTAAAAGATAACACTTTAAAATCTGTCAATCTCTAGGGCATCTGGTATTACAGACTGCAAGTGTAAGCTAGTAATGCTGGATTTTAAGCACCCAGGGTGACTTAGTGAAAGACAGGTGGGTGGGCTTCCACCTGCAGAGTTTTTCTGGTTCAGGGCGTTTCCGGCGGGACTAGATGTATTTCTAAGTTCCCAGGCACTGCTGCTGCTATAGCGACCATATTTTTGAGAACCACAGGCTTTAAGCTCAGGATGTGAAACCAGGTGTGGTGTCACCCTGTCACCTAGTATGGCAGCAAGCTGGAAATCTTCAGCACTTCACATGCTGAAGCAGGAGGATTTTGAGTTTGAGGCTCCATGCCGGACGGTGGTGGCGCACGCCTTTAGTCCCAGCACTTGGGAGCCAGAGGCAGGCGGATTTCTGAGTTCGAGGCCAGCCTGGTCTAGAGAGTGAGTTCCAGGACAGCCAGAACTACACAGAGAAACCCTGTCTCGAAAAGCAAAAAAAAAAAAAGAGTTTGACGCTCCTAAAGGCTACACACAGCAAGGTTGTCTGACAAACAACATATGGCTCAGATCTGGCCCCCAAGGCCGTTAGTTTCCAGACTAGTGCAGTAGGGAAATTAACTGCTAAGAACAATTGTTATGTTTTCAGGTATTTCTAAAAATAGTTATGTTTGAGGAAGAAAGTAGAATGAGGCTGAATACGGATAATTTGACAATCCATCAGAAGATCCTCAACGTGCATCCTGATCTGAACATCACCAAAGAAAGCGGCAGGGACCTCCAGGAAATGGGAAGAGTTCTGTCAACTCCAGACTTTGCAGTAAATTACTGAGCGTGTAACACATTGGCAACCTCTCCTTTGGAGTAAGTCCACAGATATTATCTCATTTTACAAGGGGTTTTTAAGAAGATAAGTAACTTGCCCACGGCCATCCAGATAGCAGGAAGGAAGATGTAAACCGGAATTCAGCGCTAAGCAGGGTAGTTGACAGTTACTCAGGTGAGCCAGCCCTCTGCTTCTTCCTGCGGTCCAGATGACGTCACTTAAATCCCTACCTTCTTTCTCCAAGTTTTCTCTCTAACCTCTTTTCCAGCTTCTTTCCCACGGGCTCTTTTATAATTATCCGTAGGAATGAAACAAGGACAAGAAACAAGTCTGCTCTCTGTAACCTAAGTCTCGCTGGAGAGGAGATGGAAATCCTTGTCTTGACCTGCCCGGCCTCCTCTAGGTCATTGTGACGATCAAGCGCTTAATAAGATCAAGTTTCGTTCCCTGGCTGGCCTTCAGGCCTCCCTCCCTCGGCGCCCGCAGCTGGCCACGCCCTGGTACTAGACCCTACAAACACTTTACTGGGCCTTAGGGGATGGGTGCTGTCCAGCAGGTGTGTCCCGTCTCCCCGGCGGGCGGGACCGCGGTTTCCGGACTGTCCTGGCATCCGAACAGCGCTAGGCGTGGCTGCGGTCAGGCAAACCCCAGAGATGACCTGGGCTAGAGGACGATCGCAGGGAGCGCGCCACCCACAGGAGGAGCTGCCCAATTCCGAGCTCAGCCTCTACATCCTGGCCCAACCCAGTTCCTGGACAGTGATTAAGAGAAAAAAAAAGAAAAACAAAAAAACAAAAAAACCCTCCCCGCCTTCGGCACCCTTCCAATTCTAGGCCTCGGAGCCGGGGCGAGGAGAGTTAACCCAACCGGTTCTAGTTGAGGCCGAGGGCCCGGCCGCTGGTAGCGCCTCCCATTGGCTGCGGAGCCGGCTCTGCGCTGATTGGCTGAGGCGCTCGACTGTAACTCTTGGAGAATCCCCATTGGCGCTGCGTTCCAAGGACCGGAGAGTGGCGGCCCGGCCTCCGCAGACTACCTCGGGTAAAGGTGCTCCAGCTCCCGTAGCTACCTTGCCACGCTTCTCCTTAACCGGAATCCTAACTTCCTTCACGACCCTCTTCTTGCTGTTGCCTAGCCGCCTTCGGGTTTTCCCTCTGATTCTTTTCCTGTTGTTGCTTTTCTTTTTCCTGCTTCTCCAGCTACCATTTCGCAACTCCGCGTTTTCCTAAGATACTCTCTGGTCCCCCTAGCCCGTCATCCTAGGCATCCCCACCTGTCAGCTTCTAACTTCTGCTCCTTCCTGATCTCCGTTCCCTTTGTCAACAGGGCCTTATTGCCATACTCTACTACACTCCTCTTTCCCTTTTGCTACCCTCTGATCCTCAAATTCCCTCTAACCTCACTTGACTTCTTGACATTTGACCCTGACATTTTAGCTCTCTAAATTTCTACCTGTTGCAGCCTGGGCTTCAATAAGCCAGGTGTTGTCCTGATATCCATCCCTGCTTTCTGAACCTGTTTCTACCTTTACCATGGACTTCTTGATGAGTGGTGTGGCAGCCTGCGGGGCCTGTGTGTTCACCAATCCCCTGGAGGTTGTGAAGACAAGAATGCAATTGCAGGGAGAACTGCAGGCCCCAGGCACCTACCAGCGCCACTACCGAAACGTCTTCCACGCCTTCTTCACCATTGGCAAGGTGGATGGCCTAGCTGCCCTGCAGAAGGGCCTAGGTCCTGCGCTCTTGTACCAGTTCCTGATGAATGGCATCCGACTGGGCACCTACGGGCTGGCAGAGTCTCAGGGTTACCTCCGCACTAATGAAGGCACCCACAGTCCTGTCCGCAGTGCCGCAGCTGGGGCCCTTGCTGGGGTCATGGGAGCTTATCTGGGAAGCCCAATCTACATGGTAAGAAGAGGGATCTTGTCTGGGGCCTTCAGAAAAGACTTTTGGCAGAGGGTGGGAGCCTCCCCTTTACAAGGACATTGGTGACAGGGTGCTGTGCCCCATAAGTAGAAAAAGGCACAGGCAAGTGCTGGCAAGCTGCAAAGCCTTCTGATGTACCTTATACCCAGCCACCCAACGGACTCTGCAATGTGTTGATGAAGATTTCAGACTTAGCTTCTGGAGAATTCCTTTGAGTTGGAGTGTCGTTTGTTTGTTGAGGCAGGGTCTTCATATATTGTAGTATCAAAACTCCCTCTGTAGCACAGCCTGGCTTCTAACTGCAGTCCAACCTCAGCCTTCTCGGTGCTTCAGTTAGCAGGTATGCATTCTAGCAGCCTACAACTGAACTTTGAATCAAACTTCCTGGAACTCAAACCTTGGCTTTCAAAGTACTCATTGTTGCCACACCAATAAGACAGGAATAATGATAGACTTTCGTGAAGGAGACACATGACATGCACATGTGAAGGAGACACATGACGTGCACATGTGAAGGGCTCCTATAGATCCTGGCAGATGGTAGGCATTTGACAATCCCCCCCACCCTTACCTCTGCCATCCAGGTGTTTTGATTACAAACATGTACCACCATGCCCAGGGTAGCTTTTATTGTCTTACTACTGAGGCTGACTTTGTGTAGAAGGATGAGGAGCCTGAGAAACATGCATCACCCAGTGTAGGTCAGCAAAGTCCCAGGCATCACAGAATCACACTCTCACAGTTTATTCTTGTGAGTTATCAGATAGGGGTGAAGGGTTGGGAGCCTGACATCCAGAGATGGTAGGCGTTCTGCTCAAGGTCACACAGCTGTTCGTTGCTGGAACTAGGCCAGGTTTATCGAGCCAAGGAAATGAGATGATGTACAGGAGAGCCAACTTGGTCTCACTCCTAGTGTGAGATTTGAGGACAAAGGCGTCTTCAAATATCAGCTGAGCCCGTGCCCCTTTGGGTAGTCTGACAGGGAGGCTGGTGGAGGTGGCAGCTGGAATGGAGTTGGCATAAAAGGCTAGGCACCCAGAACTTGCCTAACATGAAGTCTTAGGAAATATTACCAACCTCTGACCTCTACTCCCCACCCCCCAGCCCCAAGGGAAGGAGGATGTGGAAGGGGTGGGGTAGCTTGCAGTCCTAGGAGGTCTGTCCCCTGGGACTGCAGCCAAGGGACAGAGAGCCTTATGACCAATTTGTTAAGTGGGAAAAACAGTAATTACCAGATTAAAAGAATATATTCGTTGCTTAATACCCTAGAGGAAGTGTGAGGACTTTGGGTGTTTTGGTCTCCATGGTGGGAAGGTGACCCCTGGGGACACAGGCTGTGATACTTTCTTGTCTCCAGGTGAAGACACACCTACAGGCACAGGCAGCCTCTGAAATTGCTGTAGGGCACCAGTATAAGCATCAGGTGAGGGTTCCCCAAACCACTGGAGCACCCAACCATCTCCCATGTTCTCCCAACTTTCTACCTATACCTGGCAGTTCCAACCCCATCAAGCCCTGCTCTGTCAGACCACGGAGCCTATCCTTATCCTCATATCCCTTGTGCCTCAACTCTCCTGCACCTGTTTCCACCACCCCCCCTTCTCTTGACCTGCTGAGGTCCTTACTTCCATACCTCCAGCCTGAACTCTGAGTTGGTGAGTGTCAGCAGGGGACACCTGTTCTGGCTCTAAGCCTACACTGGACTTGCTGTCTGGACAACAGGTGCATGGCACTTGTCAGTGTTAGCAGGAAGCAGTCTCTGATGCTGGGGTGACTGAACCCCAACCACATGGTCTTCCTCCCCAGGGCATGTTTCAGGCACTAACCGAGATTGGCCAGAAACATGGTCTAGTGGGGTTGTGGCGTGGGGCCGTGGGCGGCCTGCCCAGAGTTGTCGTCGGCTCCTCCACCCAGCTGTGCACCTTCTCATCTACCAAGGACCTCTTGAGCCAGTGGGAGGTACTTCCTGGGAATGGGTGGGGCCATCCCTGGAATGGGAAACAAGGGTGGAAAAAGGGAGGTGGGCCCTGGTTCAAAAGTGAGGGAGCTGTAGGACTTGAGGATCACTGACTCCTTAGGCAGGATTCTGTCATCATCCACTAGAAGGGTACCTAAGCCCTCTGGACACTCCTTCAGTTAGCACTGTATTATCTCTGATGGTATGGAAGCTCCCAGAATTACCAGTTGTGTTTAGGACAGGCCCTGCTCTAAAGTTAAATAACTGTGTGGTTGATAAAAACCTTTCTCTTTCTTATAGATCTTTCCTCCCCAGAGCTGGAAGGTGGCTCTGGCGGCTGCCATGGTGAGTGGTGTGGCAGTAGTCCTGGCCATGACACCCTTTGATGTAGCCAGCACAAGGCTTTATAATCAACCCACGGATACTCGAGGCAAGGTAAGGCAGTGCTGTCGGGTTCAGGCTGATGAGGAAAGCTGGGGTGCAGAAGCAGATCCTCGGATGCTGCCTAGAAAGGTGTCTGACCCTGGTGGGCTCTGACACGCTCCCCCTGTGCTCTCCCTTCCTCTCTGACATGCTCCAGGGCCTCATGTACCGGGGGATCTTGGACGCTCTGCTGCAGACAGCCCGGACAGAGGGCTTTTTTGGCATGTACAAGGGTATAGGTGCCTCCTATTTTCGCCTCGGCCCCCACACTATCCTCTCCCTCTTCTTTTGGGATCAGCTGCGCTCCTTTTACAACACATACGCTAAATAACCGTCACTCTCTTGTACTCCAAATCAACACTCTTTGGGCACCTCTGCCCCTACTACTTCCTATCTCAGTGACTGCTAAGTGATTGACTTTTCAATGCACCTACGGCGGATAGCCATGCCTACTCCTCTGTTCTCCTAGGGTTGAGTCACTGAGTGGGTCTTGCTTTAAATTTCCCCACAAGTCCCCCGATATATTTCACACCCATCTCAGGGTTGAATCAGTCACTCCAAAGTATATTTCTACTGCCATTCTTGGGTCCCACCCCCACTCCTGTGCACAGCTTTAAACTCCCCCTTCCAAGACCAAAGGGAACTGGGGAGACCCAGGTGTCCTCTTAAGATTCCAAGCCACAGAAATTATGTTCTTCATAAAGCAAGTTTATTTCTGCAGAGGAGGTGTCTTATGTTTACATCCAGGGAAGAAGCAGAAAGAAACTCCCCCTCTCAGAACTGGGTCCCTGAGTCCTCAGCATCACGCTGTGTTTCAACCATCTTCACTGGGGACCAAAGAGGTTGGGGTCGTGAAGAGTCAAACTAGTCACCAGCTGTTCAAAGTTACCCAGGCTCCAAGGTGGACATGACAACAGATTTTCAGGGCCAAGAGACCTGCTATGACACCTTAGGGTAAGGGAATAGAAGGAGAAGGAAAGTGGTCCAGCTTGAGGTTTGCAAGAGCATACTTCCTGTTCCCCAGAAGACCAGGAATCCCTGACCCCGCCCCCCCCCAAGCCTGTGGCCTATTTCTGCTTCCTTGAAGGCGTTTGACCCACCCAGCTTAATTGTCCTGAGGACCCAATTTCGAGCTTCCCACCCGCTCCTTCGTCCTTACGGGGGCTGATTGAAGGTGAGCAAAAGATCAGTCTGATACTGGGGCAGCCGAAGCAAGGCCTGATGCAGTGTGACATCCTTTGCTACCTAAAGGGATCAGAATCAGCATGCTTACCAGGATACCTGGAGTTATCCCACCCCAACTCCAGGGCATCCCATTTGCCATGGCCCTCACCTGCTGGTTTTCTTTAGCTACCTGCTGCTTGCCAGAAAGGAACCAGGCATCTTGACAGCAGCCTCTCAGGGATAAGTTCTCCAAACAGAGAGGCTGCACAGATAGCACGTGCACAGCCCTAGCCCCCTGCACCCCGCCAACGTCCTCAAAATGGTACCTGGCGTAGGAGGAACAGGGGTAGGGAGGGGCATCTCTGAATAACCCAGCCCCACCCTCGAGCCTGGTCAGCTATTGCCCTTGGAGTTTTCGTCCTGAATAACCGTCCAGCCACAGGCCCCGCCCACTTCCTCGGTTCCCGGCCTCCCGTTGGCTAGCTTTCTCACCGCGCAGCCGCTTCGCCCTGCACGTGGGCCTGCAGCTCCAGAAGTTCTATGATCAGACTCTGGTCGGTCACAGGATGGCAGAAAACTTCTTGGTTGTCTGGCACCGGTCGGAGGTCACTGGAGAAGGACAGGGACACTCTCGTCTCTGGCTTTTTCCCGTAACCCACCGGCCGGCCTCTGGGGCGGCTGGCTTTCTCACCTCACATCAATGGCCCCTGTGGGGAGGATGGCAGAGAAGGCGCCTCCGAACAGTGGACAGTTTCTGGTGGGCTCCATAGATCTAGTACTTGAGTCTGGACATTAGCGAGGTTTTAAAGAAACCTACATGGGCCTTCGAGGCATCATTTCCCCTGGTGTTCCCGGAGCAGCCACTACCTCCCGTCCTACTAAGCTCTTGGACCTTTAAGATCTGGTCACGCCCTGCGAGAACGCTGACCAATCGGCGCCCGCGCTTTGGGGGCGGGGCTATTCTTGGGGGCTGGTCTCTGAAACCCAGCTCTTAGGAAGGAACCAGGCTGGAGTCTGGGGTCTGGTCTGCAGTCCGACCTGGTTTTAGGATTTATGCCGCTAGTGATGGGTTAATCCCTCGTGCTCACTTGCTCCTTTATTTTAAAGGAGTCGTGCCTTCTAACAAGGTCACTTGAGACCGTCCTTAAGGACAGTTGTTCAATTAAAGGTCCTGTCTAGGTGGCAGGTTGTGGGGCCACTTAACTCTAATGGCCGGACAACCAGACCACTAATTCCAGGATCTATTCTGGGACTTAGGGAAACAACAGGCCCAGGTGTGAGTCTGGGTTAAGATTCAGACCTCAAACCTTGATACCTAACCCGAGGATTATGGTTCTAATCCCCTTAAATCTTCCCCTTGGGAGGGCAAGGGGACGCTCTCTTCCAGTACACCTGGACCAAAGTACAGATTAAACTATTGCTTTTCCTTTACGGATTTTTAGAGTGTTCTTTTAAGTATTTGTTCAACTTTTATCCTTCCAGTTAATTTCTCCATTAATCCTTGATCTCTAGCACCTGGCAAAATGTTTAGCACATAATAGGCTTGGTGGTATATTGTTGCACTACTGAATAAATCTACTAGTGCGGATGCCTGGAAGCCACAAGGCCACCCATGCCTTCATGGATTTTACATAGCTTCTACTTCCCAGCTGAAAACCCGGCAAAGGGAGGGATTCTCACCTTGGCCAATGAACCCTCATAATTTACTGAGATGGAGCCGAGGGTTACATGCCTTTTGACGCCTTAAATTGCAACTCATTTCCTTTGTGAGCCTGACTGTACAAAAGTACATCTTACCACCGTATAAAAGGACCTGTGGACAAGACAGCCCAGGCTATAAAGAGAAACCCTGTTTCGAAAAACAAAACAAAAAAACAAAACAAAACAAAAAAGGATCTGTGGAACTTGCTTTGAATCTTAAAAGTTTGATTTACAGAGCTCTTGAGGGCATCCTAGAGGTCTTCTAGCCAGGACATAGGAGTAGAAAGTTAGAGACCACAGTGTGTACTCTATGAAATGAAAATATGCGTGGAGGAGGGCAAGTAGGTGGAGTCAAGGAGTTGTGAAGACAGTTAAGGATGATGGATTTTGCTTGTTTACCTATTGTGTGCAATGGTAGGGATGGAGCCCAGGGTCTTCTACCATTAGATCCTCTCTCTCTCTCTCTCTCTCTCTCTCTCTCTCTCTCTCTCTCTCTCT